TCGTACAAGACTTTTTATTATCAAATGTAAGATTAAAAAGCATTGTGTTTGATCATGGCTTCTTCATCAAGTGCTGTAATGAATGTATGTACTTTTTTATCTTCATCTTTATCACGCCATTTATCGATACCAGGTGCAATAACATAATTGTTCCATGTTTTACTAAAGTACTCGAAATTTTGAGCAATATCACCTTTTTCAACGTTTAGAGGTCCGGGTAAAGGAATTTTTACATTTTCCTGATTTTGCACAGGCTGCTGATACTGTTGTGCCATCAGAGTTAATAACTCAGTTTGTTTTTGTAATATTTCCGTTAATCCTTCCATTTTATTTCTTTCTTTTCTTTTTAACTTTGGTACTAGGTAAACTAACTAGTAGTAAGATCACAAAGAATAAGGATATAAATGACTTATCTTTTCAATCTTAAATTCCACGTCGCTGTTTTAGATTCAATTTTACGATGAACCTAACCTTTCATCTGACCACGTTTTCTTTGGCTTCTTTTTATCTTCTTTTCAATCCTCCGATTCCACTGAAAGTTACTTTTCACCTGACACCATGTTATAGGATGTAATATGATACACCTAAATGTTTGTTAGACAAACTTTAAATTATTTTATTTATAAACTTTTTGTTACAACACTATCGCTCTAGCTTTCTTGTTCGTAACCGCCATAATGGTTCATAGTTACCAACCGCTTAACATAGAAAATCATTATACAGGGTAAGTTTTTTTGCATGTTTAGTATAGAGATCTTGAAAACTAGCGGAGATAGAGAGACGATTAAATAGGGAAAGAATTACAGTTTCATGAACTCGGTTTAATGAGCTTTTTGTTTTTTGGATAAAATGCATGGCTAACTAGATATCTCGAAAAAACCGTTTTTTTGTTATATCGTTAGATACCTATGGCTCCGCTATTATTGATTTTAGGAAAAATGTGTAAAGGAAAAATTTGTAGCGTATTACATGTTTAATAAAGCAGTCTAACTGATTTTTTTATTTAACCAATAATTTTTGAGTTATGACACAAACTTGTAATTTTTCTAATGGAAACCATAAAATGTAACACTCAATGATATCACGCTTTTATTGATTAGAAAATTCATATTGATTATAATTTACAAAACCTCAATCAACGTTAATTAGAAACTAATCGAAACATACGTTTGCCTTAAGCTGTCATAACCAAACGTATCTATCAATTGTTTCCATAGCATAATAAGTTTGTGTCACAACTCAAAAATCATTGCTTAAATAAAAAAATCAGTTAGACTGCTTTATTAAACATGTAATACCCTACAAATTTTTTCTTTACACATTTTTTCTAAAATCAGTAATAGCGGAGCCATAGGTGTCGAAGGATATAACAAAAAAAGCTCATCCAATTGAGTTCATAAAACTACAATTCCTCCCTATTTAATCGTCTCTCTATCTCCGTTAGTTTTCGAGATCTCCATACTAAACATGGAAAAAAACTCACCCTGTAGATTATAACAGATGAAATCATAAACAAATTCTATATGGGAAATGATTACAGAATGGGCGATCAGGAATTTATAATCCTCTATGCGGAAAACGAGAATACTTCAACATCATAGTAAAACAATTCATCATGACAACAGTATTCAACATTCATTAAATTGAGTTAGAATTAAAAAGTCTTTATATTTAGCACCAAATACGTCTAATTTATCTTTAACGGTTCCCAAAATGATTTTATTTGTAAGAAAAATCGCTTGAAAATCATATCCGAGTAAATGTTGAATAATAGCGGAAATAGACACCTTGTTAATTGCAGCATTCCTCGGTTAATCGATTCAAACCCCTGCTTTCTGTTTCCAATACAAATTCTCTATAATACGCAGATTTCTACCATCGATTTTTGTAATATATTCAAGTTCGGGAACTATTTCGTGGTCTTTCGAAAAGAGTTCTGTATACAATTCTTATTTGTTATTTCTTCCTGTTGAGTTTATTTCTTTTCCGCGCGAATTAAAATTAAAACTTTTTTATTCCTTCCCTTACTTCCTCTTCCATTACAGATTCCCGTGTCTGCTAGTCCTCTGTACCTTCTTGTTCCTCCCGTTCTACTTCAATCTTTTCTTCGTCTGTTTTCCCGAAAGTGTTTGCATAATGTAATCTTTAGGCTTCTAGGATTCCTTGTGTATTTTTGAGTGTTTTTATCATATTCCAGAGTTCCTTCTGATTGTCGTTGTAGTTTTCCTGAATTTTTTTCTGAATTCCTACCAGTATTTTTATCTTGCAACTTCGTTGTACCTCCGCGTAGAACATATCGTTATCTTGCCTGTTTATATTTACTGTAGGTCCATATACCTGTATAAGTCCTACTTTGTCTTCCAGTTGTAGCTCGAGTGCTATAATTCTTCAGTTTATTCGTTCCCATCCTTGTTTTTAGTGCTTCGTCTACGATTATGCCTTCATATCTGCCAGTGTTCCTGAAAATCTTAGCGTATATCCCTTGGAAAAATGTTTTGTACCGCTTTCTTTTTTCTTCTTTTCCGATATGCCCAAAAGCTATATGCAATTTCCACTTCTTTGCCCCTTAGGGATGTGATATTCCATGTTTCAAATGTATTTCTCGCCAGGTCGGAATCGATGTCTATTAGAACATGGCCAATTTGGTCAAACACTGTCCATTGAATCCATGTGGCTTTATAGATGTTCTTATGTTAGAAATAGGTATAGGGTGGTTTAAATTCGATGTCCGAATAGGCTATCTCCGAAACTATAAAAGTTAGAAAAAAAGTAGTTTACATGTCATGATCTCGTTTTTCGAGCAACTGCTAATGCCAAAAACCTCAAGGCACTATCGTCTTTTGTTTTTCCCCTAGAGGCCAAAATTGAAAATATCGTAAAACCCGTAAATGTAATTATCTTGGTTATTATTATAGGTGGAGTATTATAACTAAGACATTATATGGACACTTTTTTACAGAGAATTTGATGACGTAGTCAAAAAAAATTTTTCGGTTTTAAATTTCTAGATATTATTATGACAATTTTCGTTTTTTTTTTAATGGAAACAACCACTGATTATTCGCTTATTAAATTCTTTATTTTTTTCTGATTACAAAAATATAGTGTTATATACATAGGTCTATTTCTCATTGTTTTAGAATAAAGCTAAAAATAAAAATTTTTTTAGTGTCGTCAAAGAAATTAAATTTACAGTTTTTTGTAAATTACGGTATTATAACTAAGAATTATTCTACTAACAGTTTATATAAAATTTACGTTATTTTCTAATATGTAACATTCCAACATGTTAAACTTTTCGTAATTTTCGTAATCCATCTTAAAGAAACAGGATTTTTAATTTGACACTTCAGAAAATTTTTGAATACAAACAAATGTTGCTATGTTTATTTGAATTAAAAAAAATAAAGTCTCTAGATTTACAAAGTACCGCGGTTTGACGCCATTTTGGCTCGAAAGTCAAGCGGCAAATTTAAAACTATGTCGTTCTATTGATAACATTACGCCAAAACTCCTTTCTTTTTTCTCGTGGTACTCTTAAGAGTCGAAAGCCCTTCTTACTGCTATTTTTGCAACTCCAAAGACAACATGACGGCAATATTTTTGTAAATAAGTGGTGAGATGCAGTGACAAGTTGTCAAACCGCCATTTTGGCTTCAAAACAGACTTCATAAACCACGGTACTTTGTAAATCTAGGGACTTTAAAAAAATATATATATATGAGCGCCATCTATCAATAATTTATTAAGTCATTTAATAATAATATTAAATATTAATAAAAAATGTGAAATAATGCAATCTATTCCAACTTTTGTGTAATACAAATATAAATTAAATAGTTCAACAAATGTTTTGTTTCAAATATCAGAAATATGTTTTTTTAATTATAATTTACAGGAAACTGTAAATTTAATTTTTTTTGACGACACTAAAAAAAAGTTTATTTTTAGTTTTATTCTAAAAGAATAAGAAATAGACCTGTCAAACCCTATATTTTTGTAATAATAAAATAATTTAATAATTTTAATAAGCGAATAATTAGTGGTTGATTCCACTTAAAAAAACGAAAATTGTCATGATATCTCATAATCTAAAACCGAAAAAAATTTTTTGATTACGTCATGAAATTCTCTGTAAAAAAGTGTCCATATAATGTCTTATTGTTAGTTATAATACTCCACATATAATAATAACCAAGATAATTACACTTGTTGGTTTTACGATATTTTCAATTTTGGCCTCTAGGGGAAAAACAAAAGACGATACCGCTTTGAGTTTTTGGGCATTAGCAGTTTCTCGAAAAACGAGATCATGACATGTAAGCTACTTTTTTTCTAACTCTTATAGTTTCTGAGTTAGCCTATTCGGACATCGAATTTGAACCACCCTGTACATACAATTGACATTCCCACTGCTGCAGTGCATTTTATAATCACTAATTAATAATAATAGTTTTGAATTTAATATTTGTAATTATTTTCTTTTGATTTAATCTAACAAGATCATATTGAGTGCCAACTCGAGTATATTAAAGATGATCATTACGAGTTTTAAGGTTACTTCGTTATTATATGAAAATTTACCAAAAATTGTTAATAAATTTCCCAAAAAAAAAGGAATTTGCTAATCCCATTATTCATTAAATTGATATTTCTTATTTTAAACTATTCTAACATAACGACAGATTAATTCCAACCCAAACAACATCTTAATAAAACCCCAATTAACTCCATCCTCTACGAAACTAAATTGTTTTAACTCAATTTGCATGAAAATATTTAATTAGTCTATTCAGAAATTTTGTTTTGAAATAGCCTTAATTTAAAATTGTTTTCTGTTTAGTAATTAATTTAAAATCCTACGCATCAAAAGTTTTAATTAAAAACATCACGGTCCTCTGTTTTCGATGTTTAATTTAACGTGTAAACGACACTTTACGCTTTCAAAAAAATATAAACGATTCTTAAAAGCACCTCTCTCATAATTTATTTATTTTTAGATGGTGTAGTTGCTATTGACGAAGATTACAAATACAGAAAGGTATTTGGTCAAGTAGTATGCAGTTTCCGTTACGGTCGGGAGGAAGATGAAATAATGGGCCTCAATTTCCAAAAGGACCTACACCTAGTTTCAGAGCAAATATATCCACCCTCGGAGAAACAACCAACAACGACGAAACTACAAGAAAAACTATTAAAGAAATTGGGTAGTAATGCGTACCCTTTCACGTTTATTTTGCCATCGAGCTCGCCGGCCTCCGTTATGCTGCAAACAGGCCCAGACGAGGGCGGCCAACCCTGCGGCGTTCACTATTACATTAAGATCTTTGTCGGTGAGAACGAATCTGATAGAGCTCACAAACGCAGCACCATCACCATGGCTATTCGTAAAATACAATACGCTCCCACTAAACAGGGTAGACAACCGTGTACCGTTGTTAGAAAAGATTTTTTATTAAGTCCTGGTGAATTGGAATTAGAAGTTACTTTGGATAAACAAGTAAGTAAACAATTATCTAATCACCTTATGGTTTGAATGAAACTGTTTTATTATACAGTGTGTCCGTAAAGTAACGGATATATTATGGGTAGTTGAAGAAAACACCCACTTTACACAACTATACTGTCTTTTATTCACACCAACAATACCTATTACAGTTTTTGGTTTCTTTATACAATCCGCGCTAATTATTGTTTCTTACTTAACAGACTTTTCGTAATGCCAACTGTTAAAAACTTATAACCCTCAAATAACTAATATCCCTAACACGCCTCCTCAACGAATAATTTACATTTTAAATTATGATGTTGCTTCAAGTTACAACTAATTTTCCATTAAAATTTTTCTTAAGTTTACAAATTTTTGTTTCCCTAACGGTTTGGTTAACAAATCTGCTACATTTTGATCACTATTAACATATTTCACATTAACCTCATTATTTAAACACAAGTCTTTTACATAATGATATCGAATGTCTATATGTTTTCCCCGTTTCGAATTTTCGAATGTTTTAATCATTGATATTGCACTCCAGTTGTCCACATTAAGAATCACTGGCTTAACATCATTTATAAACTCTGATAAAATACCTTTCAAGTTTACTATTTCTTGGGCTGAAACGCTGGCGGATACGTACTCTGCTTCCATTGAGGAAAGAGCCACGCAGTTTTGCTTCTTTGAGTGCCATGCCACTGGATTTCCCGCGTGAAAACAAACAAAACCACTAACACTCTTTCTTGTTTCTTTATCACCTCCCCAATCTGCATCGCTGTAACCTTCCAACTGACCTTTTCTTTTTTCAAAACAAATCCCTAAGTCTTTCGTATCATTTAAATACCGCAATACCCTTTTTCCGGCCTTCCATACCATAGCGGTTGGTTTATCCAAGTATCTACTCAGATATGATACTGAGTAAGACAAATCCGGTCCTGTGGTCACTGCAATGTACATCAGACTACATTTCAGTCGTCTATACGGAATTTCTGTCTCTACTAATTCGCCATCGTTTGTAAAATTTTCTTCCATAGGTGTAGAAACCTTTCTACATTGTTCCATGTTAAACTCCCTCAAAATTCTTGCAATTATCTTCTGTTGGTTTACTCTAAGTCCGTTTTCTGTTTTGGTAATTTTCATTCCCAAAAATGATAGTTCATCTTGAAATACTTTAACTTCTAATTCCCTTTTCAAATCTACTATTAATTCTTCCATTTCCATATCTTCTCCCGTGATCAATGCGTCGTCTACAAAAAGTACATGATATACGCCCTTTTTGCAATATAAGCAAAAATCATATTTTGATTGATAAAACCCAAGTTTTTCCATCACGTCGGTAAACTTATTATTCCAAACCTTTGGTGCGCCTCGCAATCCGTACAGAGCTCTATTCAATTTCCCCACTTTAGTTTTTGTCTTTAGCCCTTCTGGTAAATAAATGTAAGTATCATTTTCTAAATTACTATTTAAAAATGCCGTTGGAACGTCAATCTGTTTCAGAATCCAGTCGTTTTGTGCTGCCATTGATAAAAGAATCCTCACCGTTGTCATCCTGCACACAGGTGCATAACTAAAGTCTAAACCTTTCATGAATTTTTCTTGAAACTCTTCGTTCCATCACTCTTAGTTGTGAAAACCCAACTTGTCTCGATTGCTTTTTGTCCCTTTTGTAATTCTACTTCTGTCCATGTTGCCAATTTTTGGTGTGATTCCAATTCCTTATTTATTGCCTCCCTCCATTCTGGAGAACTTATTGCTTCCTTGTAACTCTTTGGTCCTTCAGTCTGTGTTAATAAACAATAAGCTGTGTACATTTCATAATCTCGTAAGTTACTAGGTTTCTTTAGTTTTCTCCCAAAGTTTGACGTTCTTTGTTCCATTTCCTCTTCACTTTCCTCCTCTGTACCTCTCGATTCATTTTCTTCCTCTGCTTCTCCACCTCCTTCCAATATCTCCTTACTATTTCCATCCTCATTAGTCTTTTCTTCTCCTTCTTTAGACATTGGTATTAATACAGTTGTTGGAGTAACTTCGTCTATGCTGCTGTTCTTTTTAACTTTGTAAGGCATGATGTCTTCCACAAACCGTGCATCCCTTGATTTAACAATCCTTCCTTCTTCTGGTAACCATATCCGGTATCCTCCACCACAATAACCTACCATCACTGCTTCTTTTGCCCTTGGACTAAGTTTGTCTCCTTTTGGTAAAATTGTTACCCATGTTTGGCATCCAAAAACTTTAATTTTAGAAATGTCGTTTCTGCCGTACCAAATCATTGCCGGAGTTTTTCTTCTTTCCAATGATGTTGTTGGAGTTCGATTCATCTCGTAAACTGATGTTCTTAAAGCTTCACCCCATAACTCCTTTGGTATACCTGAATCAACTAGTTATCACAGTTAACAACGTTCTGTTCATTCTCTCAGATTTTCCATTCATCTGAGGACTATAACTCATCGTGTACTCTAATTTTATGCCTGTTTCTGAGCAATAATGTTTAAAACTATTTGAAGTAAACTCACCTCCATTATCTAGTCGCATCCGCTTTATTTTAACTCCATGTTGTCGTTCTTGTTCGCTTACGTACCTTTTCAGATTATCTTCCGCTTCGTTTTTGTTTATTAGAAATCGTCTAAGATTACTTGAAAATATCTCTCTCCATTTATAGTGGCTGGAGTAATGGGTCCACATCCATCGCTGTGTATTAACGCTCCAATTGTGCTTGTTCTTTTTTCATTTTTATGAAATGGTTGCCTAATCGCTTTCGCTTGCGCACATGTACTGCATTTTGTTTCTTGAACTGGTAATCCCAAATCCTTCAATACGTTTGGTGCTGCGTGTCCAAATCTCCTGTGCCAATCAAATGTAATGTTACAGCTTTCTTTGAAGTATTCCATTTTAAGAACATACAACCCTCCTATATTATTACATGTTAATGCAAAAATTTTTCCACAGATTGATAAATGGTTCTTTTCTACTATTATTCTATATTCTCTAGATGTTAGTTTTGACGCAGAAAGTAAATTATGATTAATCCCTGCTACGATAATCGCCTCTATGGTAATTAATCTACGTTGACACATACACCTTTCCTATCAGCTTTCAAAATCTCTCCATTTGCTATGTGTACAGCTAGTTCATGATCCAGTTTCACTATATTTTTCATGTACGGCACCAAATAACTAATATCAAATAACTAATATCCCTAACAGGATATAGGCGATAAAATCATTATGAACGGTTTATGGAAAAATCCCTGAGAGGGGTCTAAAGATTTAAATTTTTTGCAACTTTTTGGTGTGGGTTACAAATTTTTTCCGCCATTTTAACTGAGTTATGACGTCATCGATATTTTTTTCAAATGGCAATCCCCCATTTTTATTGCGGTATGAAAGAAGATGTTTTTCTGAATCTAGTACAGTCAATATTAATATTCGTTACATAAGAAAATTTTTGAGAAAAATTACTTTAAAGTTTAATTACTTCAAATTTGCTTGACATGGAAAAAATAGCAGTAGCCATGAGTAACTATGGCAACCAATCATTTTAAACAATTCTCTAAGTTTTATAAGTGTCAAACACAGATTTAGTAAAGCTTGTTGTTTCTTATAGCACTGATTTAAACTGTTCTTACATCACTTTTGAGTTAATTTTTGTTTATTGTTTACTTTTATTTGTTTTCGTTGTTATTTTATTAAAATGGTACATTTGACCGAGCGGGAAAGAATAGAAATTCTGTGTTTCATTGGAATTGGTGATCGAACTCGAACTCAAAAAGAAGTAGTGTAGAGCTGTTTAATGCAACATATCCTGACCATGAACCCATAAGCCAAAGTACAGTAAGCCGCATTGTCACTAAATTTAAAAATCATGGGCATGTACGGGATCTCTCGAAGTCTGGCCGACCAAATGTTTCAGACGAGGCAGAAGGAAACCCTCATATTACGATAAGGGATATTGGGTCGAATCTGGCCATTAGTAAAACAACGGTTCACAAAATATTAAAAAACCGCAAAATATCATCCCCTATAAGGTAAACCTCATTCATGAGCTCAATGAAGATGATTTTGATAGAAGATCGCAATTTTGTGATCAGTTGAAACAATTGTGCAACGACGACGAAGATTTCGTTAAAAACATATTTTTTTCCGATGAGGCAACATTTACATTGAGTGGGCAAGTTAACAGGCAAACTTGTCGATATTGGGCTACCCAAAATCCACATTGGGCAAGAAAATCGCATACCCAATATCCGCAAAAGATTAATGTGTGGTGCGGAATAGTACAGGATACTATCCTGGGCCCTTGTTTTTTTGAGGGAACCCTAACTGGAGAGAGATATTTAGGTTTTCTACAAACATATCTCATTCCTTCCATAACGGCCAGATTTCCCGATGATGTTGACCCAAGTCGATTTCAACGGCAAGTGTTCTTCCAACAAGATGGCGCGCCGCCACACTATGCGGTTCCTCCCTATTTAAATCAATTATTTCCCAATCAATGGATTGGGAGAACAGGGCCAATTGAATGACCTGCAAGATCACCTGATTTGACTCCGCTGGACTTCTTCCTTTGGGGATATCTGAAGAGTAACGTTTATACCACTAGACCAAATACTTTGGATGAACTAAAAATCAAAATCCGAGAAGAAGTTCAGCAAATAACTCCTGATTAGGGATGCAACATCGCTCATACAATCATCGATATTAAAACATCGATGTCGAAAACATCGACGTATTATACCGGCTCATCGATATTTAAAAAAAATATTCAGTGGCTGAATTTTTATTACAAGAATTATCATAATAATCAATAATATTTGGACCTCGTTCTGCATCACTTGACTAAGCGACAAATAATAATAATAATAACTTTATTATCATAAATTTAATCACTAAAACTAGAGACAATATGATGACGATTTGTGTAAAAATTTTTGAAGAAAATAATCTAGAGTTTGATTTTGTACTTTTAAACTGGTTTTTATTTTATATAGAATTTAAGTCTAACCAGTTTCGGCCCTTGGCCATCTTCAGAGACTCCACAAATAGATTAACATCTCTCATCTTATCCATTTTACAAACGACAGCGGAAGGTAGCGCTAGTTAGCATAAGATATCACTGTTGCACATTTTTATTGCACTAAAACTAGAACTAACACTAGACCGAATATTTCTTGTTCTAGGACTAGTGTCAGTTCTACAAAACCCAATAAAATCTATCCAAAAATTACCCATCTCTTAATTTTTCTATTAAAATAGTTTCAAAACTGGTTTTCTAACCTATAACGATTACAAACACGTGCACACATAATTCCATCTTGTTCGTTGGTTTAGACTCGATACGCAATTATACTAATAATAATAACATAGACAGTTTTCAATAAGGCGCTTTATAGAGATTTCAAAATGCAAATTGTCACGAGAACTTTAAAATTAAATTGACGTAAGTGATTTAGAATTTAATATTTAATCTAAAACATTTTTAAGTATAGTAGTTGTTTTTTGTAATAGGAAATTCGAAAGTTCCTAAAGATGGTCTTATAAAAGGACCGAAACCGGTAGAATTTATAACATTACATCCGTTTTAATAAAAGTACAGAAAGATAAAAGTATTTTACTTGATTCAAAATAAAAATAAAATGAAAAGAAATAATGATGGCAGCAATAATATTAAAATTGACTGTACTAGATTCAGAACAAAATTCTTTCATATTCCGTAATAAAAATGGGGGATTGCCATTTGAAAAAAATGTCGATGACGTCATACAGTGACTCACATAAGTGATCGGACACTTATGTATTATACATGAAACATACAGCGTGTCCCGTATCTTCCGCATCAGAGCATTATACGGTTGTAGGATACATTATTCTGAAGCGATCTTTCTAATAAAATTTTTTTCGAAATGTTTATAATAACCGCACGGGAACTGTTTAAAGGAACTGTTTTTCGTCCAATCAGCAGATCGCAAATCAGACTCAGGTAATCGGTGCCACCCTCGGCCGGTCCGCTACGCCGATGATAACTCGTTTCCCACGTGTACTCACCAATAAATTCGTCATGGAAAGAGAAATAAACTTTTTCGATGAATCAAACTTGTCCGTCATTGGTCGTCGTTAAACAGTTCCCGTGCGGTTATTATAAACATTTCGAAAAAATTTTATTAGAAAGATCGTTTCAGAATAATGTATTCTACAACCGTATAATGCTCTGATGCGGAAGATACGGGACACGCTGTATATTTATCTTCACAATGGTTATTACCCCTTCTTTAGTGTATTTAGTATATTCTTAGAGACATTTGATTGAATAATTTAGTAAAATTTTCTGTAAAGTTACATACATTTTGACAATAAATAAAATAAAGTCGGATAGACTGTGGAAGTATACACACATAAATCATCGGACATTCGATTTGGTATTATAATTTAATCAGCTACATATACACAGATGGCACCACTAATTATAAATTTGATTGTTGTTAATGTCAAATACAAAGTTTGTGTGAAGACAACAATATTATTTCTATCTTTGGAACAATGGCACCGAAAAGAACAGAAACGACCATTCAAATAAGAAAATTTATTATTGCCCATCATCAAGAAGGAAAATCGGTTCGGGAAGTTTCTAAAATTGTGAAGATTAGTCGATCAACAGTACATGACATTATAAAGCGCTTCAAAGATGAAGGTAGGGTAACAAATAAACCAAGAAGTGGCGCACCAAGTATTTTAAATGATGCGGAAAAACGAATTATTGTGCGAGAAATTAAAAAGAATCCTCGCTTGAATGCCCCTAAGATTGCGGCTAATTTAGAAAGTAATGGAGCAAAATGCGTACACCCTGAAACCATACGCCGCGTTATTAGAAGTGCAAGGTATAATGGTAGAAGTGCTCGAAAAAATTTCTTTATAAACGACAGAAATCGTAAACTTCGCATAAGTTTGCAAAAAACATAATTGAGAAGTCTATTGATTATTGGAACAAGGTAATTTTTGTAGGTGAAAGTAAGTTCAATATATTTGGAAGTGATGGACGGATAATGGTTTGGCGGAAATGCAATGAAGAGATGAAAAAAGAAAATTTACCGCCAACCGTAAAACACGTTGGTGGTGGAGTTATGGTTTGGGGGTGTATGTCGGCAGCTGGGGTGGGTGATTTGGTTATAATAGAAGGCATAATGGACCAATATGGCTATTTGAATATTTTAAAAAACCATTTAAAATCATCCGCAAATAAAATGGGCCTTCTAAACAACTTCCAATTTTATCAGGATAACGATCCGAAACATAAGAGCCATAATGTAAGGCTATGGTTACTTTACAACTGCTCAAAAGTAATCTAAACACCTCCACAAGCACCTGATCTAAACCCAATCGAACATTTTTGGGAAGAATTAAATCGTCGAATAAGGACGCGAACCATATCCTCCAAACCAGAGCTCATTAAAGCGTTGAAAGAAGAATGGGCAAATATATCCTCCACAATTACCCAAAATTTGGTCAACTCAATTCCAAAAAGGTTGACAGCTGTTTTATCGGTCAAGGGAAATCCCACAAAATATTAAAATTCGATTAAATAATTTGATAAAGTTCTGTCCGATGACTTCTGTGTCTCGTAATTTGTGTTATTTTTTTTGTTTTGTTTCTGTGGTGTAAGGCATAATATAAATAAAACCTTTTCTCTGTTTCATTATTAATAAGTATATTTTCTACAAATTCTCTATAATAAACATCTTTCGTTCTTGTTGATTTATTTAATATTTGTTTATTTTTGTGCTATAGCTTAGTGTCCGATCATTTATGTAAGTCACTGTAACTCGGTTAAAAATGGCGGAAAAAATTCACCAAAAAGTTGCAACAAATTTAAATCTTTAGACCCGTTTCAGGGTTTTTTCGATAAACCGTTCATAATGATTTTATCACCTATATCCGTTACTTTACGGACACACTGTATGTTAAAAGTTATTTTTTACCCGGTTGCAGAAAATATTGATTCAATTTTTATTTTAGTTATATCATCATGGAGAAAAAATTGGTGTTAATATTTGTATTCGTAATAACAGTAATAAAGTCGTTAAGAAAATTAAAGCTATGGTACAACAGGGTGTTGATGTTGTTCTTTTTCAAAATGGACAGTATAGAACGGCTGTGGCTAGCGCTGAAACACAGTAAGAATTAATTAATTAAAATTGTTTCCTTTAACTTTTTATTTTTATTTTGATAAATAGGGAAGGATGTCCTATACAACCAGGATCAAGTCTTCAAAAAATTATATATTTAACACCTTTATTGACAAATAATAGGGATAGACGTGGAATAGCTCTAGATGGACAACTTAAGAAGCAAGAAACAAATCTGGCGTCTAGTACACTGTAAGAAATGTTAATAAAAAATTAAAAAGGGTTGCAAAAATTTATTAATATTTTTACTTTAGATTAGAAAATCCAGATAAAGAAAGTCGAGATGCTTTTGGTATTATTGTTTCCTACTCTATTAAGGTTAAACTATTTCTTGGGGCTCTAACTGGGGAATTATCCGCTGAATTACCATTTATTCTAATGCATCCAAAGGTATTTAATTATCAATTATTTTTATGTCCCATGTCATAATAAATAATATTATTATTATTGTTTAGCCTGGAAGTGAAAAGAAAATAATTCATGCTGATAGTCAAGCAGATGTGGAGTCTTTTGGTGTTGATACTGTAGATCCCGATAACGATTTAGAACCATTTTTATCATAAGAACTATTTTTTTTATAATCGTACGACGGTGTGAGTACATTAATTATTTGGCGTATTAATTATTAATTCGACCGACTATTTTGTGATTTACACATTTCTTTATACAATTTTCACAACAGCCAACTCTCTATCCCGATTCCTTTTATTCCTTCTCTATATACTCCTGTGCTTTCCCATTTTCCCAATCGCGATTACGTTCGATACTTGTTTTTATGTATAAATTATGAGTTGTACGTACGCTATATGTAAACCGCCTTTGTTGTTAATATCTGTGTAAATGTATAAAAATAAAAAAAAATAAATAAATGATGTAAAAATAGAACAATTTCGAAATTTTTATTAATAGACATTTAATTGTTAATTAATTTGGTTTAAATAAAATTGATAAATTTTTGAATAGAAATTAATAAGGATATCAACGTGACATATCTTGTACAAATCTAATACCTAAAACGTTTATATCGTTTACTTTGACATAACTTCTCCAATTTATCATCAGCAAGTTGTTTCACAACAAACTAGGTCGTTTTGGTGCTTAATATCTTGAGCATAAGCTTAATTAATGAAGATTTCAACTTGATGTATGTGTCACCATTCAATATCTAGACCATTTACAATCAAGTTACGTGTAATAGTTTCAAATGAAGAAAATCATGATAACTGTTGAGAAAATCAAGATATTTTAATTATAATTTAAGATATTAAATTTATGCGTTTTAATATTGGTAGAGTGGTCTCAGATGAGCAATCTATTCTACATTACTTAGAAAAATTTCAATGTTTTCATAAATCATGTCTTAGATGAAAACTTAATTAATAGTGGATTAATAGAGTTCAAAATCGTTGTTATCAAGTTTTTTAATTAATATAACATAGATATTCATTGCATTAAATCTTTTGAAACTTATAATGGCGCAAACCAAATTTTCATATCCCTATTCGTGTTTGATATACAGGGAGTGTTTCAAAATTGACGATTTTCAGACACGTCCTGTATCTCGGCTATCCGTAAACGTAAAAACGGGTTCTAATAGATTCTTTCACGTAGAATCCAATGGTGCACGTAGAATTTTTCTATTCATCACGGTTTTTGAGTTATAAAGAGCTGAGTATTTTAGAAGTTGAGTATTCAGTTTTTGAGTTGTGTTTATAACTCAAACATCGTGATGACTAGAAAAATTCTACGTGCACCATTGGATTCCACGTGAAAAAATCTATTAGAACCCGTTTTTACTTTCTTACTAAGTTTCCGGATAGCTGAGATACAGGAGGTGTCTGAAAATTGTAAATTTCAAAAAAAAATTGTATATCAAAAACGAAGAGGGCTATGAAAATTTGGTTTGCGCCATTGTAAGTTTCACAAAAAAGTAGCTCAGGTTCGCAAAAGCCGCAACTTTCTATCTTTCATAATAACTGAGATACCCTGCAAACCCATCGAAATTTGGACACCCTGTACAGGGTCTTTCACGACGAGCTGAGTGTATATGTATGTGGCAAACTACAAGCACTATTTTTCTGAAAATTTGCGTATAGTGTTTATCTGAGGTGCTCGTTTTAGCTAAAATGTTTTCAGTTTTCTCCAACTTCCGGTTATTTCGGAAATGGACCCCAACTTCATTATTTTAAGTGGAATGTACCAATTTTTATTGAATTTTCGAGATCCCCGCTAAATTTTAATATAATTTGATATAAGTCATAATATTGAGTTCTATAATTTTCTATGATTTTTAATAATAGTTTCGTAAAAATAGGAAAAAAAATCGATATCGACTTTTTTGGGGTGCTAACAAGGGAAGTATCAGAACTGTCCCTCACCGATTTTGTTGAAACACAGCCCGTTAAACAACGGGTTGTCGATCAAAAGTTGGAATGAATTTTTAATGAAAAAATCTTAGTAGGCTTTGCAATCTTTGTCAGAAATATTTTTGCCGTTTAAATGTCAGTATTCTTCTTACTATTATTATTGTTTTTCAAATTAATTGTTAAATAAAGTTCTATCCAATTTACGCTCGTTCACTCGATGTTTCAAAATTTTAAATAAAACAATAATAATAGTAAGAACCACTGACATTTAAACGTCAAAAATACTTATGACCAGAGCCCGGACAGTTTAGGAAAAGTGCGCCCCTCTACACGAAACGAATTCCATGGCAACGACGTAAGTACGTTGTTGTCGCTTTTGACATCATTTAAGTTACTCCATCTTCAAAATTGAATTTCGAAGAGCGATGAGCGTACCTTAGCGAAGAACTTGCAATGCAACATTAATTAATAAATTAATAAAAATAATATAAAAATACGCACTGAATTATTACGTATACATTTTTGGTTTTATTAAATTTATAATTAATAAATTAATTTATAATTTATTTCGTGACATAAGGTATGACGTATTTGACAGCTTCGCACGCTTCGATTGAATATTGAGACTGGAGTGGGAGGCGTTTTAGGATAATTTTCCTAAACTGTCCGGGCTCTGCTTATGACAAAGACTGCAAAGCCTACTAAGATTTTTTCATTAAAAATTCATTCCAACTTTCGATTCACAACCCTACAGCTTAACAGTTAGTGTTTGCTTAATTATTTTTTTTCTCAGAAATTATTAAATTTTCGAAGAACATCAGAGAGACAAAAAAGTTTTAGTATAGTTTTATCTATCTAACTGAAATTTTTCCAATGTATTTATCATCTTCGAAAAAAGAATTTAGGCATAAATTGAACGGGGGTGGTTACGTTTAGTAGTTTAGAAGGGTAGATTGAAAGTACAAAATAGGGCCAAAACGTACCCTATTATGAGTTAAACATATTCCCCAAATTTCATTTTCCTAGGTTCATATATCAAAGTACTCTTAAAATTCACTAAAGAATCACCCCTTGAAGTTTGTTGTAGTCATTCAGATACACCCTGTATAAACATGGGGTCGCAACTCTTTTGTTTTCGAGCTATGAGCTGTCAAAGTTGAGCCAAAAATTTACATTTTATCTTTTATTTCGGGTATACTACTGGTTAATATCTTATTTTCAACCATACCTTAAACTTCCCTAGCGCCCTCTAAGGGAATGAAATTTAATTTACAACCCCTTTGATTTTTTTATAACAACTTTTTAACGCCATGGAATATTAACATAAAAAAATATGGATTGTAACGCTTATTCATTATTGGTTGTATCTTTAGTTTTTTCCTTAAAGATAATAGTTTTAGCGTAGAAAAATAAAATATGCTACATTGTACTGTAAAGCGCTGCTATTATTAATACATTTTTTTCTTTATAGCTGGCTATGGAAGTTGTGCACTTACTAGGATCTAGTACTAACTAAATAACACCAATTAATTGTGATTTTCATAAGAAAAACCATAAATAAGATTAATATTTTAATTATTATTAAATATTATTTTAATATAACTATATTAAAAAATTGATACTCTTGCTTAATAACAGTTAAAAATTATTAATAATCATCACCAATTATGAGGATTCACTGTAAATGAAACTTACAAGTTTTCAGAACCAACTTTTAGAATAATTTGAGCAGCCCCAGATCTAAGGGGCGGCAAGTTTAAAGGGCGGCCAAATTCACACTTTACAGACAAATAGACAACTCATCATTTACTTAACTTTGACCACTGAATAAATAATAGTACAAATATGTTCTATGTGGTACAGGACGTTGGCTAATTGCGAAAGGGTTAAAAGATCTTGGCTTATATTTTCTAAGACAAAAAATGCAATTTTTTGTGCATGCTGCAAGATTTACCAGAAACCGTCTTTTACCGCCACATCTGCATTGTGTTCTACAGGGTTTATTAATTGGAAAAAAGTTTCAGAGAGATTAACCGAACACGAGGAAACTCAAATGCACAAAGAATGTTTGATCAAGTGGAAAACACGGGTACAACAAATGAAATCATGCCAGGGTATTGATCAAGACAATGAGAGAGTAATTCACTCAGAGAAAGAAAAATGGAGACAGATCCTGCGTATTGTTATGGATGCTGTATTGTATCTATCCACAAACTGCCTTTCTTTTCGCGGGTCCCACGAAACTCATAGCGATCTCATCACACAATGTCCTCAGCCTAGTCAAGGTAACTTCTTGAACTTAATTTCCCTGCTCGCCAAACATAATTCAACTCTTAAATTTCAATTAAAATACTTAAAAAAGGGACAAGTATCATATTTATCAGAGACAATACAGAATGAAATGTTTAACATAATGGCAAAAACAGTTAGAAATAGCATTTTAAATGACATCAAAGAAGCCAAATACTACACGACAATGTTCGTTGCACTCCAGATGTATTCCATACAGAACAAATGAGCCAGGTAATTCGATATGTAAAATGAACTGGCGATGTGTGTGAAATAAAAGAAAGTTTCATTGATTTCATAGAAATTGCTGGAAAACAGGAGACGACATTGTCAACAGATTTTAGGTAAATTTGCAGTTGATGATTTAGATATTGGACAATGTCGTGGCGAATCTTATGATAATGGGTCCAATATGGCCGGCATCCATAAAGGAGTACAAGCCAGGATTGCAGTATATTGCTTTTTTGTTGGCTCCATTACTAGGTGGGACATTGTGAAAAATACGTTAAAACAAATTTAAAAGGAAGTAGTCAGACGAGATGGTCGGCGAGTGAATATAGAAATTCAGAAAGAAGATATTATCCTTGCCCGTTACGTCGCACTAACGGATGGTCTGCTCAAAACTTTGCAAAAAATGAGACAAAATCCAATGGAATATTGAATAAAAGAGGCTGGAGAAGTTGCTGAAAAAAGTGGTGTTGACCCGATTTTGCAAAACAAACAAATTCCGAAACGTAAAAAACATTTCGATGAGATGTGTAAAGACGAATTACAAACACTCCAACCTGTTCAACTATTTTCTAAAGAAATAATGATGGTACTTGATGGAATCATATCAGAAATTAAAAAGAGGTTTGATTGTGCTACCATGCTGAATTTGAATTTTGCTTTTCTTAATGGTACTAATATTTTCAAAATGCTAATTGCAGAACTGCAAAAGTATGGAACAGATCTGGCTCGAAAATACGAGCGAGATTTAAGCGTCGTTGAATTCTGAGAGGAACTCTACGTTTTTAAAGAGCAAGCCCGCTTTTATTTGGTGATATAGTTGTTATTTCGTTACTACTTCTTTTTTCTTCCTGACTCGTCAATTTGTTTTCTGAGAAAAACTAAATAAATATTTTAGATCTTTTGCTATGGAAGGTGGACAAACAATACTTCGCAATATCGTGGTTATATGGACTTTCATATCGAAAAATCTTGGACGAAAATTAACAGGATTTCCAAAGAATA